ACGCGCTCTACTGCCCGCATCACACCCGCCACTTCTTGGTCCGAACCGAAGATTATCGCCCCTGTTTATAAAGAATGGTCCCTTAACCTCTAAGTTTGCTTCCTTGGTAATCACTTAATTCATTTGGATTGAATACACGAACCAGTAAAACAATTGGAGTAAAAATAGCTTGATGGAACGTAAAAATATCGTTACAGACTTGATGTAATGAACTATCAATGAACCATTCATGTTCAGTAGAGTTCACTTTCAGTATTGCGATATTATTGATGGATAAAAGGTCACTTTGATTATTTTCAATATAGCGTGGGTCTCGCGGCTTATCACGGCCAGCAGTAACGCTGCGTGGCGCAGCAGATGTGACACAAGAAACAATTTCTCGCTAAAGTGCCCACTCAAATTGAATTCGCCGCCTCGTCTATAACCAATGATTGCCATTTAGCGACACAGCGTTGAACACATTTAGATGAATTATTTGTATCAGATCGCTTCGCCGAGCGAAACGTTCTACACTGATATCAGACCTTCATATTGTAAATACTGATCTGTGTATTTTAGATGAAATATTTCTGATATTAAGACTGGGTACCTTCAGTTGGTTATAAGGAGGGAAGGAAATAGGATACGGTATAATCTTAATGTACGTATAATCCCTGCGTTACTTTAGGGTTTTTGATGCAGTCACTTGTTTCATCTATACTTTTATACTAATATTATTAAGTGGAAAAATTTGTATTTTTAGATTTTTGGATGTTTTTATGTATGATAACTCAAAAACTACTGGACCGATTACAAAAATTCTTACGGTTCTAAAAAGCTATATTATCACTGAGTAACATAGGCTATATTTTGACAATGTTTTTAATTTCATGCGGGCGAAGTCATGAAAAACAGCTAGTCTTAGATATAAGGAATGATATACTGCTTTGGAAATTTTAAACATATATTATACTTAACTAAATACATATAAGACAATAATTTTCCTGTCGAAAATTGAATTTGTTTAGAGGCAATTTCTTTTAGATGCTCCCTTATTAGAACAGAATTATCTAGTCAAAAGCGGAATGTAATTTAATTTGGGAAAGTAGCTCGGGTCTTGCCTTTTTATTTGAAGGTAAATGAGTTTTTATTTGTTTATTCTGTGGAGCGGCGGCGGCGCGGCGGCGGCGGCCGTGTAAGTAAAACTTCATCATTTTATCGACGTCTCTAATTAAATTCTTCGCTTTACAAAAGTGACACCTCCATAGTTCACGGTCTCATTTTAATTACACTCTATATTGACTAGACTTTTATACACGCTGATTGACTTTAGAAATTGACTGCATTTTTTTAAAGTAATTAAGTATGACTTATCATACTAATATTATAAATGCGAAAGTTTAGATACAAACCATAACCATCCTGGAGGTTTATTAGATTTTGTATGCTAAACGTCTGAACGGATTTCGGTGAAATTTGGTATAGATGTAGAGGATAATCTCGAAGAACACATTGGCTACTTTTGTTTTTTTTTTAAACTCCACGCTTACGGAGTTGTAAGCGAAAACTAGTTTTAAAATAATTACATCTACTACTATTCAGCCATATGACGCCCACTGCTGGGCAATTATTAATAATTACATCTAGTCTTAGTTTAAATACCTCTAGCCCTGGGCTTCGTGAGCAGTTTCTGCACGATGTTGTCGTAGGCGGTCTCAGTTGCGACGCCGGAGTCCTTGGCTAATTTTTCCTTCACCGCTATGCAGATGCCGTTCCGCGCCAGCAATGCTTCCAACTCCTCGAATGCCTAAGGAAGTCAAGATTAGACTGATGAAACTGAAACTCTTGTTGAAGTCTTAAATTAATAAGAACCTCAGTTTAATCCTCAGTTTAAGTAAGTTTATAACATAGATATGGACAGAGACAGAAGTATACATAGATAGATATTAAATAACCTAAGTTACGTAATTGAAGTAGAATATCACATAAGTTATTATGTCGATAAATTGTCCGACATCTAAAGCAACGTTGGCCGTCGAAGGCAGGACTATTTGTACGATAAACAACTCTCCCGCCTGCAGCTGACTGCTTCTCTAATTAAACTTGTTCTGCAAACAAACATGACATGCAGTAGAATGTAGTGCAATGCAATGCATGAAATTGCAGACGAAAGATGAAATTCCATTCGACGTCTGTCTGCACACGTATTCACGCGTTTCATTAAGCTGCATACCATTCTATCTCATAACTCATTATTAATACGAATTATTTTCTTTGTTTTACGTATGTAGGGTCGGGGCGATAAAATAAACAGTCTTCATGTTTAATCTCACTCTTAACCCTAGATTTACAAGATATTTTTTTTATTATTCTTTTTTGTCTTTAAGTTAGAAAAAGTTACGGCTATCTCTTCTCGTCTTTCTCGTCTATATGTTCCTACATTTACTTCAATCTACCATACTTGTCAAATCACTCACTCACTCTAGTCATCGTTTAGAAACAACTTTCTTACATCTTCGTTCGGAAACACGCACTTACAAATCCCACATTTTACATAAATAATGCAATATTTAATACAAGCAGTTTCATTCAACGAAGATATACAGTTCAATAAATGTCGTGATATTAAAATTATGATATGCCACCTTGATGCCGTAGCTGGACTCCTCGTAGATGATAGAGACGTAGCTCCAGCCGAGCTGCTTAACAATCTCCACCATCGCCTTAACCTGGTGCAGGTCGCTGGGGATGGTGCGTGTAAAGTACTCGAACCGCGCCTTGTTCGATAGCTCCGGAGACGTCGAGAAGAATGACACCTATTGAACGAACTTCAATTTTAGACATTTCTCAAAAAACTTAACATCGTGATTGATTATCTGCTTAACGCCATCTTTTATCAAAAGCATATTACCTGTGGTATCTTGAAGAGGCGGAGCAGGTTTGCGACTTGGACGGATGTCACACTGGACGCGGCGCCCACCACGCCGGAGATGACTTTGCGCACCGCCGTTGCGTTACACGCGTACTCCGCATCGTCTATGTTGCTTATTGACCCTGATAGTGTCATAAATGATAGTAATAAGTAAAGTAGTAAGGGAAAATTTGTGACATCTAATATTAGGAGACATTTAAACATTACAGGATACATTTAAATATTGTATTGCATGTACTAAAAGTAAAGAGTAGGTATAAGAAAATGGCGAGAAGTTTCGAAATAACAAGAAAAATGTAGTTTTGGGAAATATTTGTTATTATCTTATCGGAATACTAACTTTATAACATGGAGGGTGTTGATGTGGCTACACATTGTGCGAAAATTAAGTAGCCTTGAGGGAGTAATAACCGTAAACTGTTATTAGTTTTGGACGACTATAAACTTTATTGAGCCATGAGAACCCTTACTATTTGCCCTTACTCAAATTTCGGGTGTCCTGTCAATATTCATAAAGGAGAAAATTATTATACAAATAAGCAAGCTTGAGTACACATCTTGTATTTAAAATTATATTCGACGATGCTTGAACCGAGCCATCTGAACTAAATTTATACGTACAAGTAATAATAACAAAGATATTGATAAATCACCTCGTAATAGTAAACAATACATACCCTTAATAAAATCAACAGCCATTTCTAGTCCGTACGTATCCCTGTCACAGTCATCCAGTACGTGCGCTCCGAGCGTGACGCCCGGGATCAGTTTAAGCTTGTTGACGATGTCCAGCGTGTAAAGCATCGTCTCCAGCGCCTGCACGCCCCCCTGTGGCATCACCGGCCCACACGTCAGGTTGTCAGACCTCTCATGTACCATCATCAGCCCTCCCAGCACCAAATCTCCCTCTATAACAGCTTCGCGCTTTATCGGCCAATGCTGGTGCTTCTTATCTTTTAATTCTCCTATATCACTAGACATTTGAATCCAATCATTCTTTTTATCGTTGATATACGAATCGAAATTTAATATTTCTTTATCTAAGAATTCGTTGAATGTAAGAGGATCGTAGTGGGGAAGGAAATCGAAAGTATCATCGTTATGTTGTGTGACGGGCGCGTCTGTCTGCTTATGCCTGTGTCTATGATGGTGTCTGTTAGGGTCCATGCGGAGGTCCAGGCGATCTGTCGCGGATGCCATCATCTGCGTGAAGCGCACGGCTAGCAGCATGGTCACGGTCGCCAGCCACCACCGGCCGGCAAGCATCGTACCCCACGCTCTCTCATGCCATCCTCACAATATGATGCCATGATGACCAATGAAGAGGCATACTTGAAACTGCAAAAGATAAAGTGAGTGTTAGTAAAATATTACTATAGTAAACTTGTGGTAAAAGTTGAGTGAGGATTTTAAAAATATATTTTTGCTACTGTTGGCCGGTGGAAATATATTTATTGAGTGGAGCGTTAAATTAAATAGATATGTAGGTTAAGTTATTCTGATGAACTCAACCTTCACATAAATATATGTTTTCAATAATCTCCGAATTATTCCGAATAAGTATTTCTTTCGTGTTTTAACTGTAATGAACAGCAGAAAATAAACGGGAATAAAAATATTTAATTAACTATATGATATTACTACGTAGGCTTTGTCATTTGAATTAATTGTATAGGGGATTTAATAATAAATAAATTAAAACATGTTTATTGTTGCCATAAAAAATAGAATACAGTTTACTAAAAATAGTGACGATCATAACTATAAAAGCATTGTTATTATCATATTATCTCTAGAATTGTCTAGTTTAAACAAATAATTGAATTAGTAACAAAACGTACACTTAACATTCTTAGATTACGATAGCAAAAAAAATGTAATAAACTTAATTAACAAATTTAAAATTTTAATTGAAAGTTTGCATAGGTACAGTTCTATCTTAAATCTAGGCCATAGAGTGAGATAAAATGAGAGCAAGCACTTAACCGACTCTTACAATAGTTGATTCCGATCACGACGGAGATGGATAACTAGAGCTCGTTCCGGTCCAATTAGGTTACATCGCAGTTTCGAATGGAAAATTGAATTTAAAACTGAGATAATTTCTTACACATAAACGAGACCAGTTCCTAGCATTTAGCAGCATCCTGAGCTACCACTATAACACTATTCTATACTTTACAATTTGCGCAGAACACCGTTTTAATCTATTTTTCAATGATACTATTAGACCCTAATATAATGATCCATGCATCACCTCACGCAAACACTAACATACTCGTACTTAGGTAATTCTAGAAATTCAAGTAATTTTAAATAATGCCATAGTTGTTAAACTAGGTCTGGTAATTTACTTGGCCTCAATCCACCTGTCTTTTAGTACTTATAAACAAGAGATTCATTAAAAGTTGCTTCATTATATCTGTGTTGAATGGCCACGTGGCTTGCCGCGGCTTGACTTCGCCTTGTTTGGCTTGACTTTGCTTGGCTTCGCGCCAGCAACTAAATGTTGCTTCTCTAATGAAACATACGTTGTACTTGCCTTAACATCGACCTTGTCTGTCAGCTGGAAATTCACTTCGATTTTGTAATAAGCTATACTTCCATAATGGAAACTGATTCGAAGTATAATAGTCTAAAATAGCTAACTTTAAAACGAAATTGGTTCATATTTTACCTTTAATATGAGGTCAAATGAATACGTTAACTGTAACATCAAAATAAAATGATTCTACTTATAAAAAAGAACGAAGTCTGTTTCAATGAATTATATTAATATTTATTATACGAGTAGAAGAGGAGATATTTGTAAGGCTTTTGATAAATTAAGGACAGACAGACAGACATTGCGACTAATTAAATTGGGAATATCTTATAATTTTTGCTTCACGTATAAAATGTTAAATATTTATATAAATATGTACTTGAGATTATCAATTTACTTGTACGATGTCAAATTTTTATCCAGCCGCAAGTTAATGAAGTTATCGTCTTCATTCAATTCGAGGCGATTTACATTTTTATTGGAAGTCACAATTTACTTCCAATAGATTGTTATGAGACATTATTTGAATGAATACTGTTTAAATCATGTAATTTATTAGCAACTTATTTAAGTACAACGTACTAGCTTATGCTTGCGACTTTGTCCCACGGATTTAAATAAGTAAATATAGAAAATAGACTGTGCATCCTTTCAGACTATGCTCTACATCTGTGCCAAATTACACGGAGATCTATTAATGAGTTCAGGAGACACGTAGTAAAAAAACATCTATGCACCGGAACGTTCGCAGTTATAATATTAGTAAGAACTAATACAAGTAAATTTAGTTTCATTTAATTAGACGGGTACTTTTCAGTTTTATGAAAAAAAAGTATCCATCCGCAAACTAGCACCCTAGTTTCTAGGCAGATTGTTAGGACCGTCATACACGGCCTATTTAAAACTGTCGGTAGCCACAGATTCTAAACTTCGGCAGACTACCAACTGTATATTTTAACGACTGCGAACGGTTCGTGTATGGCGACTTTACCAGCTAATTGCTACTAGCGAGGTAGGCATACTCAACGCTAGAGCGCAGACCTAAACAAAGCCACTGTTACATACAAAGGCATTTCCCGCTTTCACCTGAATAATGAGACAAAAATAAAGTAACTGGGGAACGTGTTTCAACGTTTTATATTGCCGTGTTCAACATTCAAGGGCTTATTAACATAGTTTCTTTAGAGCGTGCGCACACATGAAACTAAACTATCGCACAACTGTTTAGTCTCGCTCTGATTCCTATGAGCTTATATGGAGGTACAAACGACTCGATTTTTAGTTATGCAACTAAACAGTTGAATTGGCTGCGAAACAATCGACTATCGCACAACAGATGTGCACACAAGGTTTCTTGTTTGCCTTTTCTCGATATATTTGCGAGTCGAATCATTAAATAAGTAAATCCTCTCGCTGGGCTCGGAGATCGTTAATTTCTATTTTGGTTTTAATTGAGAAAAGACATTTGTTTGAAATGAACAAGTTCAAAGTTTAATGTGATGGAAGCCGCTCGCCGCTCGCTGCTCGCCGCTAGCGAGAATAACTTCCCTTTTAATTAAAACGAACGCGTAAGCAAAATTAAGGAGAATTTGCGACGCTCGCTAAAGAAGCTAATTTTAATAGCTGTCCCTAAATCGGTCTCTTAATTACACAATATGAATATTTTGGGTGGAGAATATTTAGCGCAGATTGCGTTCACGAGGAATTTATGTGCTGTCGGTACTTGAAATTCGTTTGAAACTTTATTTTGACTGTGTTCACGGGGAATTCAAAAAATGTAATATGAACAGTCTAGTAAGAGTTAATGTACCATTCCAACGGTGAAAGATTTTTTTAAATCGGCCTCGTAGTTTTTGAGTTATATCAATACATACTAAAATACAAATCTTTTCACTCTATAACATTAGTAGGCATAGTATGGATAAGGACAAATCTTGTTGTTTGTACTTCAAATCAATCATTTAGTTAATAGCATATTTTAAGTAGCCGATAACTTGATAATTTTGTTTAAATAAATCAAAGGTGAAACAAGCAGTGTTCTTGTCACATTTTAGTGGCAATAACAAAACACATAAATATCCCAATTGCTAAAAGACTAAGCGATAAAATAGTTTTACGATCAGTGAAGATATTTTATAGCGTCTGCCGAAATCGATTGTACTGTTGATAGGCAAATGAACACGAATGGCAGACAATGTGAGTGTTGGGTTTACTATCGCCTTTTTACAGATTCAAGGTAGGCAGGAAAATAACTTTTTGTCTAATCAGTTTTGAAAAGTAAGAGATGATTTCGTTTTTAATTTTTATATCGTAATGATAATAAATATCAAGAAAATTATTATTGTTATTTCCAACTAAAAAGTAGTATCGTAATATTTTCAGATAAAATTAACTTACGTATTTAAAACAAAGGAAGCAATAGTTTATTTTAAAAGGAATATTCCCATGTCAGATATCTACACAGGTAATGTGTGTATCTGACAGCCCTTATCTCGAGAGAGCCTCCGTTACGGCCGTATCGAGTACGTAATTGCCCAAAACGTGACTCTAGATGACTTAATATAAATACAATTTTACATATTTACCTTATAAACCTACAGTTTATGCAATCGTGTTTTAACTATAACTGGATTTAGTTCTTTTTACCAATGTTTATCTGCATTTTTGCAACAAGTTAAATTGTCGGTACTTTCAGTTGAAGATAACGATTTATTTATTAACATGTTCAGAAGTTTGCCTTTAAACAAACTCCTTATAGTTTAATATTTTAGTCCTAAGTCTACATAAATATTAACAGATGTTGTAGAAGTTTCCTAATAATAAAGAAGAAATACGACACGCAATCATTCCAAAACGTGTAGATCTTAAGATGTACTTAATCTTATAATTACATACTGAAGGTACTCAAGTTATACATACGTGAAAATAACGGTCTAAAAAGGTTGTATAAACTTGCTTTCAAAGGTTCATTGCGTGGTGGAATCTTTTTCATAACATGATAGATCGAAACCGTAAAAGCTCTATGTCTAAAAGTTTGTTCGTGGGCGCGACGGTCACTTCCGGCACACGGTGACGTATTGACTAAAGCGGCGTTTTCAATTTATTATTTTTTTACGAATTTTCCCGTGCCTTCTCCAGTAAACGTGCTTAAGGAATTAATGAAGAATTATTTTTTCATTATTATTTTTAGAGAATAATTTAACCACGAAATTTTAATTTTTGTAGTGAATTTATTTGAACGCTAACAATTGCTATTAATATACGAAAAGGACTACATAATAATGCGTTTTTTAACACGCTCACTGCGTAACAAGCTAATATCGGTCTGACTTAAGCTGGTGCTGACGAAGAAAACTATGTCCGTTTTGCTAGTGCGATACTCTCAGGTTCCACAAAGTTAAAGCAATTTAATCTATCCTAGTGCTAACGTGTCTAGAAAGACCTGACACGCATTTGCAAAAATAT